ACGGGCACGTTATCTGCCATGTGGCTTATGTCTAATAGTGCCATATGGCACAGGGATAAAGGACCACGTGGCAAGAACATGCCCATCAGGAGGAAAGTGCAGGGTGGAAGTGGAGGCATCTAGGCTTGGCGTGAGGCTCACTGCCCGACGAGGGCGAAGGACATGGGAACCAAGAAGGAAAGCGGTGCTGTACATAATCGGCAAGGGGACAGCAAGAAAACCCGGTCTCGCAACCGTGTAAGGTTCAACCTGAGAACAAGCATAATTTCCAGACTCCTGACGGAGGCAAGGCAGAAGGGTTTGCCTACATCCTGACTCCTCAGGCATGTGGCTGCAGTTACCATGCTTGCCTATATGAATCAGGCATTTGCGTAGGCTATCATCAAGGCTGCATGTGCTAATTAGCTGCAAAATCATGTTTGCGGCTTTACCTACATGGTTTGGGGCTGATTTTTAAAGCAGGCCCCTGGGAGCACCCAGTGTTCAAAGGGTTACTTTTCTCATTAATAAAAGCACCTGGATACCTTGCCAAGATGGTCTTTATTAATGGAAATGGGCACTAGGGGTTGAGATGGTGCATCTGTCACGGACTGCATTTTCTCTTCTTTTGTCTCCTATGAATCTTGCTGGTTCATTTGTGGAGCAGAAGGACAGAAATGTGGGGGAAGGGATGTTGGTCACATCACTTAAAGTGTGGTGGAAAGTGCTGAGGTGCCAGGGAGACAGGTGTGGCCTGCCCGTCACCTGAATTTGGTTACAGGGAGTGATATTTGGTCTGGCTCAGATGGCTCCAAACTCTACCTTGGCCTGGATGAAACATCAATATAATCTGGGTCTTTTATAGCAAGTCCAGGCGGACGTCAATCCATGCAGCGGCCTCAGACTTATTCCCTGGCTCTCACCGTATTTCAACCTGAATTGTCTGTCTACATCTTAGACTCAGAGAATCGTAGAAAACGAGGGTTGAAGGGACTTCGGGAGGTCACATCTAGTCCGACCCCCTGCTCCAAGCAGGACCAACCCCAACTACATCATCCCAGACAAGGCTTTGTCTACCTGGGTCTTAGAAACCTCCAAGGATGGAGACTGCACCTCCCTGGATAACCTGCTCCAGGGTTTTACTACCCCCCAGGTGAGAGAGTTTTTCCTAATATCCAACCTCAACTTCTCTTGCTGCAACCTGTGCCCATTACTCCTTGTCCTGTCACCGCTGAGACCAGTCCAGCTCCATCCTCTTTGAGAACAGCCTTGGATCCAGTGGCTCTCATGCCCAGGGCATGGGGCCAGCCCATTGCAGATTTATCACCTATTGCCACATCCAGGAGCAGACACAGACCACATTTTTGGGGCAGAGATGTGCTCAGGTTGAGATGTTGGCTCGGGGCTTTCTGCATCTACCTGCGTGACTGTTTATAAGCCAATCTGAACCTTGCGTTTCCTGCTCTAGAGTCAAGATAGAAATCCAGCTGGGAATGAAATGCACTGAAGGTATCCCTGCCTGAGGCATTGGTAGCCCCCCAGTGCATCCCCACAGCTGGGTCTGTGCAGGGGGTTTCATCTGGAGCCTGACAGAGGGAAAGAGCCCTCCGATGCGGAGCGCAGACCTGGCCTTGGCAATGGGACGCTGAGCAGGGTTTGTTAGACTAGAGTAATCTGCGGGCAGCAGCAGAGATCCTCTGAGCTCAGCTGGGGGGAAGGCAGCTGGCAGGACGTGGCATTAGCAAACAGGAGGAAAGATTTTGAAGGGCTGGCATGGTGCAAAGGGGACAGGGGTGAGGCTTGGCATGCATGGTCAAGTGAGCAATGGCACGTCTTGCTGGCAGTTCAACCAAAAGATGCCCCTGGGGGAAGATCTTGCCTTGCCCGTGAGCAGCAATTCTCAGCCGGGATGTCCCAACACCCTGGGGTGCCTCGGGAGCCTTTAGTAAGGTTAGGTGTGCATGCAGCCGTTGCAAAATCCTAGATCCACCCATAGACTCATTGAGGAACCAGGAGGAGAACCCCTCTCCCCTTCCCGCCCCTCCTTTGCTATAAGCACTAGGCTTTGCTCCACTCCAGACAGAGCCTGGGATGGGGAGACCCCCTCGTGGCACTGCTCGGCATGGTGTTGGGGACCGGCCCCCCTCCCCTCCTCCTGGCAGAGCCCGCAAGGATTCGGTGCATGCCAAGCGCCTCGCTTCAGAGCCGCCATGGGCTGAGCAACAGCTGTGGCCAGAAGACGGGCACGTAGATGATGGGGGGCGGGGAGAATAAATTGCATGAGTCAGACTAAAAGCTTCATAAATATTGACTGGCTTTAACCATCCCCCGGGGACGAAACTACCTCACTTTATAGCCACGGCCTCTCCCTGCTCGTTAAGCACTGCTCTCCAGAAAGCACGGGCAGGCCCGGGGGGAGACCGGGGAGACGTCTGCAGGCCTGTGCGCGTGTGATGCTCGTGCCCTCTCGGTGCTCCCCAGCTACATCCCTTACCCCCGGCTCTGATGGCTTTGCCTATGGCTGGGTGGGAAGAAGGTTGTTCCCTGCTGGGGTTTCTACCCAGGTTCCTCCGGGGAGGAAAGGCAGCCGAGCCAGGGAAAGAAACCCTGGCTGAGGGGCATGAAGGGGTGGGAGGGATAGTTCAGGGGGTGGAGATGGTACCGGCATAGGCAGAGAGGTAGGAGATGAACATTGTAGACCAAGGGGAGGAGAGTCTGGCCCTGAAGCGAGGAAGGAGAAAGCCCGAGGGTGTGATTGTGCCCCTGGGAGCTGACCCAGAGTTGCAGCACAAGTGACTTCCCCTGCACCCTCCTCTCACACCTGCAGATGCTATTGGCAAGGAAACCATGGGGCAGGGTGATGGCAATGTCCCCTGCATGGCCTGGGTGCTCCTTCCTCTGCCGGCCTGTGTCCACGGCCAGGCACCACCATTAGCAATGGTCCATTGCTAACCCTAACCCTAAGTCCTCGCTGCGGAGGATGACAAAACTCCCCCAGTCCATACCAATCAGACTATGGGGTAAAATGCCTTCCTGACCCCAAATCTGGTGTCGGTCTGACCCTGAGTCGAGGGGCAAGACCCTGTAGCCAGGTCAGCTTTGGTCCTGGCAGGAGCACTGGGACAGCCCAGTGCCCATCCCCAGCCTGGGCTGCACCCAGCACCTCTGGAGGAGGCTTAAAAAGCCCCTGGCACATGGAGCAGAAAGTGGGGGCAGAGCCAACCAGCAAAGCCCAGAAGTCTGGAAAAAACCCATAAAAGAAAATAGGCCTGGCTACCCCTATAGGTGTCTGCCTGTCCCTCTGCCAGGGGCACGGGGAGACCAAATAACCTAATGGAAATATAGCGCTGCAATTGCATCCTCAGCCGGGGCAGCTCCCCTGGGCTCGCTGCAATCCAGCCAACACGGCCCAAGGCTTCCTGATACCCAGGAGTCTGCTCGCAAGAGGAGGCTGAGGTGATTTAGGACCAAAGAAATGAGATGGAGACCTCCTATGCTAGACCCCAGCTCTTGACAGCTTCAGGCCGTAGTCTCTCAAGGGGCTGTGAGCAAATGAGGCACAGATCCACCACAATTTTCCGGCCACTTCCTCCTTTCATACCAGCCTGAGGTGTAGGGAGGATGGCAGCCCTGAGCACCTCCATCTAGGTCCTTAACATAGCCCGCCCTGGAGAGAAAAGAGCTCGCGTGCATTGAGAAGGTGATGTAGAGTTGCATTTGCTCATCCCGGCAGCACTGGGGGTGATGCTAGGGGTGCAACGTCCCTCTGACCAGTTGCACTTGGCCACATGTCCGCTCTGGGATTTCTCCGCCGTGAAGGAGACAATTTTCAAAGAGATGCCAGCACCGGGGATCACGAGCTAGAAAACCTAACCCTGAAGTGCTAGTGCCTGGTGGTCAAAGCAGGTCACAGGTGCAATCAGGTGGCATTATAGGAGGAATATGGCATAATGGGGTGACTATCCCAGCAGGGAATATCCACAGACCAGCTGTTTGCAAACTGCCAGTGACTCAGCTCTGCGGCTCATCCCCACCGTCACGCCAGGGAGAAGACAGGAGCCAAGAACAAAGTTGACTGTCGTTGTCATTGCTTTGTCTCTCGGTATCATTAAGTCATAACAGCAAATTAATGACTGGTCCTGGCTCTGCTGTGATGAGGAGACCGTAAATAGCCCAGCACAATGAAGTCAGCCCCCTGAAACAGAGGTGGAAATGATGCTCCTTGCACACCACTGTGTTTTGTCTGAATAAAATACAAGCGTGACGCAATCAAATGTATCAGCAGAACCACCCCTGTCCCCAAGCAAACCAAGGGGATCTGGCCCCACTTGGGGTAATTTTGGACCTGATGTCAAAGCTGACTCGCCGGCCTGGAATAGGCTGCAACCTGCTGCCTGCCGAGCTGGGGGGAGTCAGGAGAGGGGGAAGACCCCCGCACGCCAGCAATCAGCTAAATGAAATGCATGTCCATCTCTTCCCCAGCACCATTCTGGCACTCGCTCCATCTCAGGCTAATTAAGACAGGGACGAGCCGTGATAAATGACCCAACTCCATTACCCTGATCGGCCCCGCACCGGTGGCACGCGGTAACGTGCGTGCGAGAGAAGCACTTCCACGACAATGCAGAAGTCACCAGGGCTGAGCCGTCAGAAAGACACCTCGCAGGATACACGCTGTCACCACATCCCGGGCGTGCGTGCGCGGACGTGAGCGCGATGCACAATTTGGGAACGCTGGCGCACCCGGGATCAGCTGGATTGGAAAGATGTTGACCGAGTTCCTCTGACGTCCGCGACGGGGTTGATCTGCCCATTTCCCAAGGAGTGAATCATATTGACAGGTTGAATTATATTTCAAGAAGGGGTTTTTTTTTTTCCTTTCTCCCCCCTTCTCCCTCCCTCCAAAGACCATTTGTAATCGCGGCACATTCCCTGCCTTTTAAAAGCGAGCTCAGCCAGTGCTGGTCACATTGAAGCCCTCCATCCTGTGCAAAAGAAGGAGTCTCCTGAGTGGTGGGGACATGGGCAGGATCGGTTCAGCCCAGCTTTGCTTTGGGATGCTTGCAGTCTTGGCCATCGTGGTCTACATCCCTTCCACACATGGGAAGCCTTTTTTACTGCAAGGTAAGCTGAAAGGCCAGCACGCATTGCTCACACAGGTGGGCGCTCGCCTCTGTTGGTCATCTATCTGATTCTCTTTCCTGCTTGCAACCATCAGAGCGCATTGATTATCATTTGCAAGGTCATAAGGTGACCTAGGCTCACCATCTGACTCACCTGAGACCTGCCCAGGGACCGGTAGACCTGTCCCTCTGCCCCATTGCTGGGTTTTAAACATTTTGCATTAAACTATCAGATCAGAAGCAACCTGCAGGATGGGTCTATACCTTCCTGGTCTTCAAGAGAAAAAAAATGTCTGGTGTTAGACAGCTATGGCCTCAGCATGTACCATGTTAGGTCTGACAAGTTTTAAGAGTCAGTAGTAGACGGGGGTTAAATGTTTTATTTTCTTTTTCCCCACCACCGAGGAACTGGCTTGTTAGATGCTCTTCTTCACTAATTTAAGTTCATCTTTTCTGGGACTGACCCTGCAGGGAAATGCTGGTCATTAATCTTCCTTATTCAAGAGCCGATGCAGGGAAAATAACAACAGCTCTCTATAGACTAGAGAGCCACGTACCACTTTGGAAATGACTTTTCCTCCGGTACAACCTATTTGCCTTTTTGTAGCGGCCCCCAAAGCATTCGCAAGGTCCCTCCAGCTGCCTTCAGCTGCCGCTTATTTTTATTTCTTTTTTATTGCACGTTTGTATTTTTTTCCTGAAGCACGCGACTGATCGGAGGCATTTTGAACGCCTGGTCTACGATAGCTTGAAATGTGCACCTGTGCAATGCCACTGACTCCCTGGGTTGGATCCCTGCTTGTGAGTGAGATCAGAGCCAATGCCCTTTTAATGGATGTAGTGCATCCAGGATGGTTTTGGCCCAGTCTTTGTGGCAAGCATTGTTTTAATTGCTCCTTTGGAGACTTATGCAGCGGTGTCTAAATATGCATCCATGTGGGCAGGTTCTGGTGCATCCTCCAGCTCTCTCAGGACACCTATAACAACACCCGTGCGGCACCTTGGAGGACTTCTCTTGCCCTTAAGCCCATCAGGGAGGAGGTGGAGGAGGTTTCCTGCCTTCTGGTCCAACTCCCTGCAGGATGCATGGTTGCTTCAGCACCATCCTTGCTCTTTCTGGGGCTTTGTAGAAGCTGCTCCTTCATTTTGGGCAAGGAGACAGCATGTTGCACGCAACCCTACACAGCTGGGGAGCCCCTACCCCCAGCCTCAGCCTATACAGGAGACCGACTGCTCACAGCTGGCAGCTCCTCATCTCCTACGCCTCTGTGCATAGGGCATGGACCTATGGAGGGTCTTCCATGGTCAGCAGAGACTGGTGAATTGGGAAGGGGGTAGAGGGTTTAGTTGATCTTTCCAAGGTGGGGCAACCACTTCCCAGACGGCACATGCTAAGGACACGCTCCATGATAATCTCAGAGCAGGCCCTGGACCCCCTCTGGTAGCAGGACATGGAAATGTTGGGTTGTGGGAGGGTCCCCCATGCACAGGGGGGATCCTTGCACGGCCCATAGCCAGTCGGATGCTTTCCTAGGGGGAAGGGGACATGTCTGGGGGCTGCCTGCTCTCTGCTGCGTCCGGCAGCTGGAAGGGTGCCTGGGCACCAAAGGGAACTGAAAAAGCTTCAGTGACTGCAACTCAGATCTAGCAAGGATCTGGTGATGTGGATCCAGCATGGGTGCAGCTGCCCTACACTGGCAGTGGGGGTTGTTCTGGATGGTCTGATGCATTCCCAGTCCTGGCAGGATTCGTGCAGGTGCATCCTGACAGGCAATTCGGATGCAAAAGCCCCAGGTCCTGAGCTGATCGGGGAGGCTCCCCCAGCCCCTTGCATTCAGCCTGGCCACTGCACTGCAGTCTGGGGCTGCCAGGGTGGGCAGACACCCTGTGTGAACCCCACTGTCCAGAGCCATCACCCCTCTGCATGCCTCTTCCTCCCAGCCTTCCTCTCTGACCCGACGTGTGGGAACTAGGTCTGGGGCTGGGGTCTCATTGCCCCTGGCAGCGCGGCCTGAGTGCCATCTTCTGTACGTTGCAGAGAACCAGGTGTTTCCAGATAGAGAGGACGCCGGTCACCAAGATGCTCTGCTGACTCTGCTCCTTGATAAAAACCCTGCCTGGAGGCGCCCGGCCAATATCGGTACGTGGTGGGGAGCAGGGCGGCAGGATGTACCCCCTCCAGCACCAGGGAGCTTGGAGTACTGGAGTATGATAGGCCTGGGCCTCAAGAGCTAGTGGGCACCACTTGCTAAGTGATCCTAGACAGGCCCAGATCGGGACCCCGCTGCCATGCACCAGCTCTTCTGGCGCCTGCAAGGTTTTGGGGGCTGCTTTTCTTCTGCAAATCTGACTTCCAGCCATCTTCACAGCTCAACTTTACATTGAATAGCTCCAGAAGGGTTTGCATTTTCCCCCTATCTGGTACAACCACCCTTGCACTTGATAAGGAGCACTAATGAGGGGTCCCTGCAGCCTGGTGGCTGCTGGAAGAGGATTCTGCATTGTACCGGGGGCCGGGACCGGTCCAGAGGAGCCCCAGGGGCAGCGGGAAGGGGGAGCCAGCCGTCTCCCCACCCCTTTGCTGCATCCCGTGCTCTGTGCCCATAGCTCAGCATCTGGGCGGCGTGTTAAGAACAGCAGATCTAAGAGCTGGGAGCCCAGAGAGGTTGTGCGCTGGGGTCACTGCATTGCAGGCAGCATGTCAGAGCCCAGGGTTGGTTCATCCAGGCAAAGAGCCATGGGGGCTCCTGCCTGCACCTGAGCTGTACCTGAAGCCGGGGAAGGAATGGGCAGTAGGAGATTTCCTGATATAAGAGCATAAAAAAATCAGGTTGGAAGGGAGCTCAGGAGATCACATCTAGTCCAACCCCCTGCTCCAAGCAGGACCAGCCCCAACTACATCATCCCAGACAAGGCTTTGTCTACCTGGGTCTTAAACACCTCCAAGGATGGAGACTCCACCACGTCTCTGGGTAACCTGTTCCAGTGCTTCACCACCCTCCTATTAAGAAAGTTTTTCCTAATATCCAACCTTGACTTCCCTTGCTGCAGCTTGAGCCCATTGCTCCTTCTGCCATCTGCCCCCACTGAGACCAGCCCAGCTCCATCCTCTTTGCAGCCCCCCTGCAGGGAGGTGAAGGCTGCTATTCAATCCCCCTCGGTCTTCTCTTCTGCAGACTAAATCAGCCCAATTCCCTCCGCCTCTCCTCACCAGTCCTGTCCCCCAGCCCCACAACCATTTTCATTGCCCTCCGCTGGGCTCTCTCCAATGTGCCCACATCCTTTCTGCAGCGGGGGCCCACAGCTGGACACAGGACTCCAGATGTGGCCTCCCCAGTGCTGAATAGAGGGAAGGAATCACTGCCCTGGATCTGCTGGCAGCGCTCCTACCAATGCAGCCCAGGATGCCGGTAGCCTTCTTGCTAACAAGGGCACGCTGCTGGCTCCTGCCCAGCTTCTTGTCCCCTGTCCCCCCAGGTCCTTTTCTGCAGAGCTGCTGCCCAGCCCGTCACCCCCAGCCTGCACCGGTGCAGGGGATTGCTCCCTCCGTAGCTGCTGGACCAGGGCAGAGGCACTGGAAAGCAGGACTGGGCTGCAGAGTGCTACTCTAAGGACTCAGGTCCTTGCTAGGGATTTGGGCAGGTGTCAAGGTGCAGACCCAGCATTTCTCCTGTCACTGCACACAAGGACCGATCCCCAGGTAGATCCATGAATAATGCTCTCTCTCTAGGGCCCGTGCACAGCCCAATGAAGGTGGGTGGACTCCAGTTGACTGCAGTGGGCTTCAGGGCAGAAAGGGATTCACTTCAGGGGAATGTTTCCCATGAAAGCAGGAGCTTAGTTCCTGATGCTTCAGCACCCCCCTCCCCTCCCAGTTTGCTATTCCCAGTTCATACCAATCAGGCAACTGGTGTGGAGAGACACTAGGAGCTGGACATGCCGAAGGATGGGACAAGCACCCAACAGGGACAAACTCATGGCTCATGCACTTCTGCCCTGGAGCTCTGTGTGCTTTCAGGGCACCCTGGATGGGGAGAGCAAGGCACAGCTGTGTGCAGGGGCATGCCCAGGGCTACACCGAATGTGCACAGCACAGCTGGGAGCAGCCAGGTGCCCTGAGCACCAGCCCATGCACCCGCCTGTGCTGTCTTTTCCATCAGGCCTTGCCCAAATGCCGCTGTTTAAGCCTTGTGTTGCCTCATTCAGCCGGGCCTGGGAGCCATGCAGGTTGCTCCCCTTTGCGAATGGAGTCAGGTCCTCTGGGAGCATCATCCTGTTCCTTTAGAAAGGCAGCACTGAGGCTCCCTCCTGCAAGGTGTGTGGGCACCTGGCTTCTGCTGTCTGGCACCAACAGGCCTTTGAGGACCACGTTAGGGTCTGTGTATACAGCCCTGGTCGCGGGTAGCTGGAGCCAGGCGCAGCCGAGTCCTTCCAATACTTGGCCGCGGGGGTGATGCATTCCCAGCAGAGAGAAGCAATGTTACAGGGCCAGAAGGTCACATCAGCAAAACCAGAGTGGTCGGCTGTATGAATGTCCACCATGTCGACCCCGGCCCATTTGGACCTGTATTGGGTACCATGTAGGAGTTTTGCAGCCAATGCAGCAGATGTGCTGCTTTTCCAATGCAACAGGGAGGACAGATCCTGTAGGTTTTCACAGAGAATTACAGCCTTCCTGCAGCCTATATTTTGAGGCCGTAAGTGGCAAATTGGCCTCATTTAGGTTTCTAATTCGAGCTTCTAATTTGGGTTCTGGCATTGACACGGCATTTGTTATTCCTTCCAGACTTGGAGCTGGCGAAGAAATACGAGGAGCTGCAGCAGGTGAGAGAAGCACGTGCCTAAGGATGCATTCTCAGCCCAGCCCTGCTTGGGGTTAGATAGTGCAGATCACGGGGCAGTCTCGTGCACCCAGGGTGGCTTTTCATTGCTTATCGCATGGTGAGAATAAGAGAGGAGTAAAGCAGGGTTGCAAATATCTCCCCAGTGGCAAGAAACAAAGAGCCCGTAGTGAGCAAGCTGCAAAATCCTCTATAGCCCCTCTGAAGTGCAAGTGCCTGGAGTGGGGATAGGAAGGCTCAGCAGGGGGAAACCTGCCAAGGGAAAGGTTACGGCCTCTCCACATTTATGCCATTGCTGTGGGACAACGGGTTCAGGCCGGAGACAGGACAGCAGGAGTCTCAGGGCAAACCTCCCCGGGAACGTTGCACCTTGTGTGGAAGTAGCTCACCGTGCTGAGCAAGGCTTGCACTCGTGGAGAGAGATAGAAAAGCAGAAGCACAGGGAAGTCGCGGAGGACCGATGGCTGGTCACGGAGGGTGGCTGATTCCTGCTTGTGTTTGCTTCACACAGCTGGCGAGGCTGAAGGAGCAGCTGCTGGCGGACGAGGGCTCTGACATGGCCTATCCCTTGGAGAGCCTGGCTGCACCGCACCCACAGAAGCGTGGTGGGTTGGGGTCGGGGTCGGGGTTCGTGTCCTGCCTCCCCTCTATGGCAACCAGACTGAGGCTGCCCCAGGTCACGCTGCTCCCTGACCTGGCCTGGTTGCTGATGGGTCCCACATCCATTTGGCCCTGCAGTGCACCCCCTATAATAGTGTGGACTGTTTTGGGGGAGAAACAGGAGATTTCCAGAGCCCCTTAGCCGCCAGCCTGCACCTAATAGCTCAGCGCAGGGTCCTGATGGATAAAGCACTCACAGCCGTGTGAAACCCACCCCGGTTTTTGCCATGCAGGGGGAGGGTTTGCATCCGCCTGTCGCCTTCCAGCAGTGCAATGCAGGGGCATCAGTGCAGCTGCAGCTGGGCACGGGGCAGCCCCCGCTCAGCCCTGGGCAGGGAGTTTTTCCTGGATTTACTGCCTCGGTGGTCTCTGTCTTTGCTTCGGTGAGGGTTGGAGCCACGCGGGGGGCTGCATGCTCTCCACTTTGCTGAGGCTCCAGGGCTCTCTCCCAATTCATTTCAAGCCACATGCTTGACCCAAGGGAGACCCTATAACCACTGGGTTTCTTTGGTGCTGATAAAATATACATTTCACCAGCTCCTCCCCTGAACACAGTGATGTCTCCACTAACTCAGCTAGCAGTGGGAAGGGTCTGGACCAAAGCCGAGGGGCTGTCCCAGCCCATGCATGCTGCTGTGATGGCAGGCAACATGCCCTGAGCTGTAGGGAGGCTGTATCCAGAGCAGGACAGGGCTAGCATCCAAGTTCAAGGAGCTTGGGGAAGAGAGGAGGCTGCTCCTTTGGGCTGCTCTAATTTAGTCCTGCATGCAGAAAGCACAAAAATGCTGTAAATCCCCCTTTACCTGCTGCTACCACACCCAGAGCCAACCGTGCGCTCTGAACCTTGGCCTGGACCTAGCAGCCCCCAAACCACAGAGACGTCCCAATACAGGCCTGACCTGTGGGGCTCGTCTGGGAGCTCAGAGCCCCTCCAAATCAGCCGACCCTCAAAAGTGTTTGGCTTCTTCTCCCCTTCTCATCTTCCTTTCAGTATTCCCAGGAGCTCAGAGGAAGGGGCCCTGGGTGGGTTGGCTGTGCTGGGACCCTTTATAAAGCCCTGGAGGCAGGGTATTTGTATTCCCATCCCATCATTTTAGGTCTTCTCCAGCCTGTTTCTCCTGGGAAACCCCATGGTTGGGGATGGGTGGGTAGTTTGTGTTCTTAGGGACACCTGGCAATCAGGGCTCTTGGTAGAGGTGCGATAACTTTTATTAGACCAACTAGATTTTTGCCAAATAATTCTTTAATTGCAAGCTTAGGGATACCTGTGTCGTGAAAAGAGACCCTGTCTTGCATGCCCTTGGTGTCTTTCTGCCCTTGCTCTCATGCACAGCTGCAGGGGGGTGCCCAGAGAGCGTCCCCAGTGCATCTCCGGGTGCAGAGAAGGGGCATCACGGCAGGGCTATGGGCACTGGTTAAAGCCCCAGCTGCTGTGAAGACCCCCAAGCTGCCCCAAACTCCCCAGGGTTGTAATCCCAGTCGCCAGGTGGAAGGGGAGGTGTGAAGAGCTCACCCCCAGAGCCCCCGCTCACCACTGTCTCTCTCTTGCCCCTCCGCAGCCTGCTTTTGGAAATACTGTGTCTGAGGCCTGGCCCAAGGGGAGGAGGAAGAGGAGATGAGCCCCACACTGCCAGGCTGCGGCCTCGCTGCTTCATCATCCTGCTGTTCCCCCGTGGAGTGAGGATGGGCAGGGGTCCGGCTACACCACCGCAGCCCCCTCCCTGCGGGCACCAGCTTCCCCCTCCGGGCTCTGCTGCACCCCGTCTTCCCAGCTCTGCCTTGCTTTGTTTTTTAGTGTGCTCCCTGGGTGTCCCTGCCTCCTCCAGCACTGCTCCATGCTTCCTTTCACCCCCGTGCCCCCCATCCCTCCGAGCCCTGGGAGGATGCCCGGCCAGCTCCTGCCCTCTGCAAGAGCTGGGCATGGTGGTGTCAGGGATCCCTGCTCCCCTTCCCCACCTGACAGCAGCAACCCATGTCCAGGAGGGCGATGGGCCCGGAGCTGGCACCGGTGGGCTGAGCGCGGTGTGGGGGCCCACGGGCTGGCAGCCCTGACGTGTCTGTGTGCGAGTCCTGTCTGTGTGCACTGTATGCATCCTTTGGTGTTTCCCTCGGGGGGGAGAAAAGGCACAGAACGGAGCCGCTGGATATCACTCAATAAAGAGGAAAGACCCATTTCTATTGCACGGGCATCCTGGGGCTTTCCTTTCTCTTTGCAAAGAAGGTGCAGGGACTGGGGAGGGTGTTCATTATGGGTGCAGCAATGGGGTCTCACTCAACAGATGCCTACGATCCCAGCCGGTCACATCGTGTCGCTGCTCATGGCTTGGATTGTGGTCTCCGTTCCTCCAAAACCAGTTACTCTCCTCTCTCCACTCCCTGGCTTCTGGCCCATGCTGGAAGCAGCAAGGTCCCCTATAGGCTCCTTTAGCAGGGGACCTATACCTCTGATAATGCTGCATCTGATACATGCTGCCAAGGAGCTGTGGGCAGCAAGCCGATCACTCCCAAAGCACATGCCACTCCTGCTGCTAGCTTTCTGGGACCTAAGCTCTGTGCTTCATATGTATGCAGTGTGCACGTGTAAATGTGCCTCTCGTGTGCTGCTCCTATCACGGCAACAGCAGCAGACACAGCCCTTTCTGCAGAGAGCTCTCTCTGGTCCTTGGAAACGCGTCCGGCCTTTTCTGCCCATCACCCCATACCCAGCGTTCCCAGCTTGGTGGGCAACAAGCTGATTATCTCTAATGACCAGAGCAGAGGATTTGAGCTGAGGTCTGCAAGCCCAGCTGTGCCCCGTCTGCTTCCCATCACACCGCACGACTCACAAGCACAACGTGAAGCTCTAACGATTGCACCATTAGCCTTCGTGGGTGGGGTGGCATTGGAGAGACCCTATAGGGTGGTTGCTGGGGGAGTGCAGGCAGATGCGACAAAGTTCATTGATTTTAGGGTGGAAGGGGTCATTGGGCCAGCTCAGCCTGTGGTTTCTGCGGCTGAGTTTGTTGCTGGCTCTTTTCTGGCAATGACTTGAATCCCTATGGCCTTATACACCTGGGGCAGCCTATAGAGTTTGGGCTTGGGGGACTATCCAACGGTGACCATGGGGGTGTGAAACATAAGCTAAGTTGGCAGAAGGCCCCCCTCCCTCTCCCTTTTGCAATAGCAAGCTGTGGGCTGGCCCTTCCCCTTGGAAAGGACCCGTCACAGGGAACAGACAGACCATAAACCAGCCCCTTGCATGAGGTAGGGACTTCCTCTCTGGGCAAGTGACTGTTCTCCAGCCTGGAGCCTCATTGCTCTGAAACACACAGGGCACATATACACGTTCCTCTTTTAAGCAGGCTTACCCTAAAATCACCATTATTAAGGTGCATTAAGGGCATGTGTGTGCCCTTAATGCACCTTAAAAATGGCAATTTAAAGCTATATTGAGCCTAAATTTGATGCCTGCTATTAGGTACTAACAGCTAAGTCATATTAGCGCACGTGTAGAGGTGCTAATGCACATTAATGTGGTGTGTGTCAATGGATACACACTATGTTAATGCGCATTAGTGCATCTACACATGTGCTAATGTGACTTAGCTATTCATGCCTAAATGTAATGTGCCTTAATGCTCATTAGCATATCCACATGTAGACGTGTGCCTAAATTCTCTGAAGCTGCAGGGGTGCAGGTTGTAGCCGTGTTGGTCTAAGGACATAGGCAGACCCGAAAGCTTGCCTAATAACTATTTTCCAACTATTTGGGTTGGTCTAATAAAAGATATCAGATTCACCCAAGGAACCTTGTCTGCCTAAATTCTCTTAATGCATCTTAAGCAAAGGCATATTAAGTTTAAATGCACATAAATGCACGTATAGACATGCCCCCAGAGAGGCAAATCAGATCTCCCTTGGGTGCTGCTTGCATGCAGGTACAGGGGCAGCCCAGCTGCGTGGCATGCCAGCCCCATGGCTGAGCGCCCAGCCTGGAGGGTGATGGGAACGGGCTGGGGAGATGCTCAGACATGATCAAAATGGGGAATTTTCACAAAACCAAAATGTCCTTGAGCTTGCAGCAGACACGTCTCATGTGCGCCCGGCTCATGACAGCCTTGTGGGGTCAGGGAGGAGGATGGGGCCTGCAAGGACACACATCCCACAGCCTGGCCCTAATCAGACAGGTGGCCACGGGTTCTCCCTGCACCCTCAGCTCTCTCACGGGCATCATTTTTGCATCTGCTTTGGAGATTGGGAGGCCGGTACCGAACTCATTTCTCCCCTAGTCTGCAGCCCCCTTGCCTGAAGCTGGGTGTTGTGCTTTGATACAACCCATTCCTGTAACTCCCATGAGGAAGACCTTTGCTGTTCCCTGCCCCTTGCTATCCTGTATGCACACAGCCTCTTTCCCAAATGAATTGATGCCATTATTCCCAATGAGGATCTATTATAAACCACCCCCGGAGTCTAGGTCCATGTTTGAGCTGCTCAAATGATTGATTATATAGTATAGACCTGACTCCCCAAATCGAGCTTGCCGAGCGCTGGGGATGACTAGAGCATGGTGCCAACCCCAAAGCTGAGAGCAGGCTCTTCTCTATTCCAGTTTACGTTTCACGGGGTGGGAGGCCCTTCTCGTTGCCCACTATTCCCCCCAAAGCTCCTGCCAGGTGGAGATTTGAGGTCCAGGGACCTCAAATCGCCACCTCTTCCCTCAAACGGCACAAGAGAGGTGGAAGCAGGATAATCAGCTGAGAGTCATAGGAAGCGAAGACCCCCGCAGCAGGTCGGTGTCTCCCAAACAGATGAACAAGGCAGGAAAGATCACTACAAGCCAATCCCTAAGATATTACGTGGTGTTTATTCAGGCAAACTCCTACTGACATCCATAGAAGCTTTTCCTGAGTAAAAACCACCATTGTCCCCAGGATGGCTAACTCTTTCCTTTAGCTGCCCCAAAGCTACCGACCAAACGTCCCCGTTGAATTAAATGTGCAAAGCAAAAGGCGCCAGCTGCTCATGGATGCCTCTTGGTGTCTCTAAAAGTTTTATTTTTTCTCCAAAAATTCTAATAGTCCTTGCAGGGATAATGAACTCGTGCAAATTAAAAAAAAAAAAAAAAAAAAAATTGCCATGCAATGAAATTATATACACAGATTTTCTGTTGCCTTTTACCAGTGGAACAGAAAGCAGCTGCGAGGAAGTTCTGATCTGATGGATTGGATCTGTTACCGCTTGGAAAAGGCAATGTGAAACAGATTTTGCATGAAGTCAATTCCTTAAATGTCGAACCGTTAATCAATGACAAGATGTTGTCGGAAGCATCCTCCGTGTTTCTGCGACATTCCCAACGTCGCATCCATCTTTCAGATGCCTCTGCAGAAAGAAAAGCAATGATATTTAAATTCTCCTCAAAGATCTGGAGGATGAAACTCAAGAATGATCCAGGGAAGACAAAGCTCGGAAAACTAGTTTTGTCATGCGGGTTACAAATCCCTAACTTCTGGCATTAAAATTAAATGCACAGCGGGAAAGGAAATATTATACAAGATGACCTACATGCAATTCAATGTAGATAAATGTCAAGCGATGCACATGGGCAAAAATATCCCAAACTCCACCTACGCTGTGATGGGCTCCACATTGGCTGCTGCTGCACGGGAATGGGAGCTGGGGATCATTGTGGCCCATTCACAAAAAAATACCAGCTCATGGCTCAGCAGCTATCAAAAGGGGAAATTAAAGTTCAGGATTATTAAGGGAATTTTAAACAGCATGGAAAGTATTGTGATGCCCTCTTATAAATACATGGTGTGTACACACCTTGAATATGGTGCCTGGTTCTGGTCCCTACACCTGGAAAAGGAGACAGAAGCGGTGGAGAAGGTCCAGAGAAGGGCAACAAGGATAACGAGTGGTATGGAGGGGCCTGTCCATGGGGCAAGGCTAATGAGGCCAGGCCTGTTCAGTTTAGAAGAGAGATGCTGTGCGATACGGGAGACTAGGCAAGATGGACCTGGTCTGACCCCGTCGCTGCCAGTCCTGGTGTTTTTAGGACCTTGCAGCTCGGGAGGTTGAATTGCATGCATGCAACCAGGAGGAGATCTTCGACCCACCGCACTCCTGAACTTCCCTTTGCTGAGCTCCACTTACTTGCCGGTCTGCTAACCCTTGGTGTTGGCCAGGCGGTTCATGCCGATCCGGTCTACGGGGATGAATCGCCTCTTGGGCAGCTCCACCACTTTCCTGCACAAAGAGAAACCAGGCAGGGCAAGTTCAGAGGAAAAGCCAGGCAGATGTTGCCTCTTCGCTGCTTTGATGCCAGCTGGTGTCTACTTGCCCTGGCTTCTGCTTTTGTGACCTGCCAGCCTCAGCCCTGGGGCTTGATTGGCAGGGCTGTGCTGGTGAGGTAGGGGGCTACACCTCGTTCCTCAAAACGAGGCAAAAAGCTCTACCTGTTTCCAGGAGGGCTCTACATGACATTAGAAAAGCACAAATAAAAGGCTGGAAATGCTCCTTTTTGTGGCTGTTATGCCACCTGCCCATTCTTCTAGGAGATCCCGTGCTGCACAGGTAGGCTTTTGGGCTGGGCCCTGAGGGTTG